TAGGGCTGTTGTACATAGGGTCGCTATGAGTCGCAGGCGACTCGACGGCACATAACAACAACAACAAAAACAACAACAACAGATGCAGGTACAAAGGTCTGTCCCTAACTATTCGGTCCTTGATGTTAAAGAGAAATGGATTGATATGAAGACCTATTAAACAGAATGTTCGGAGAATAAATTTAATCAGCTACTAATGAATGGGAAAAATTCTCTATTTTTGTATATTATACAATTGTACCTCTATTTCTTTATTTCATCTGTGTCTCTAGATGAACCTCTGCCTATGTTTCAGTTGATATATATCTAGGAGTAGGAAAGTTTTGTTAATTAAGACACTGGCAAAAGAACTCAACAAATTCTGATAACATTTTGTTCATTTTTAGGAGATTCTATTGCAGTTTGAATTGTGTTGCCCCAAAAGTATGATGAAGTCTTGGTAATTGGGAATGCTACTTCTCAGGAAATAATATCTTGGAGATATTATCAGCTATAGTAACTAAGATGATGTTATAATAAAATAAAGAGGCTCCTATTCCAGAATGAGTGGTGTCCTTGCAAAAGAGGGAAATAACTTTAAAGGCATAGGGTTTTTACAAGGCAAGATTATAAACCAAGAAATTCTAAGGATTGTCAGAATCAGGGAGGAAGGCTAGGACTGATTCTGCCTTCTGAGCTTCCCAAAGGATTCATCAATATGGCCATAATTTTAGTCTCCTGTTTCCAAAACTGTGGGATAAGAAATCTCTGTTCCATTAAGTCATCCAGTTTGTGGTATTTTCTTTCAAAATCTCTAAGTAACTAATACACTACTGTTACAGATATCTAATGTGTTTTAGTTACCTAGCTGCTATGACAGATATCCTGTAAGACAATAGCTTTCACAAACAAAATTATTGTCTTTTTTAGCAGGCTAGACATTCAAATTCAGGGTGTTAGCTCTAGGGGAAAGCTGACTCTCTCCCTGTCTGTTGATTGTGGAGGAAAATTCAGGTTTCCTTTAACATCTGTGGGCCAGATGTTACCTGTAGATCTTCATGTATCTTGGTCTTCTTCAGTATCAGTGCCTAGGAGTTTTTTTGAACAGAAGCTCAAGTCCAAAAAGATGCACATAACACCTGACAATTCTACATTGATCAAAGTGAAGTGTTGAGCTAATGAGATAAAAGATGTTATAGACCACACATTAGGAAAACTCCCCTTATATATGATTAGGATTGTGATGTCATTTGAGGGTATTATGTTCTACACTTATCTGATAGACTATTCCATCCTTATCTGATAAACTATTTGGTTTATTAGATAATAAGAGATTATTATGTAACTTCCAAATTATATCATTACATACATGTTTTTTGAGAGGACACAATTCAATCCAGGACAATTACTGAATGTTTGTATCATTGTCTTCTTCCATGGGCAGTTTACATGTGTTTCAAGTATGAAACATCTTCACTAATGTTGTTGTTTTATGTTATTGAGTACCTTGTGACTCATAGCGACCATATGTACAACAGCCCTAAATCCTCCTCTGTCTGCAACACCCCAACCCCGATTACCGAAGTCACTGACTCAATCCACCTCATAGAGGGCCCTCCCAACCCGCGCTGTTCCTCCACCCTCCCAAGCATGATGTCCCTCTCCAAGGACTGGTCCCTCCTTGCAACATGTCCAAAGTATGCCAGACAAAGCCTCAGAATCCTTGCCTCCAAGGAGCAGCCCCGTTTAATCCTCCATAGAATGAAACTGTTTGTTTTCTTAACAGTCCATGGTATATTCAATACTCTTCTTCAGCACAACAGCTCAAAGGTATTTCCTTCTATCCTCCGAGTCATGGTCCAACTCTCTGACCCATAACCAGTGATTGCAAAGACCATGGCTTGTATCAGTTGCACCTTAGTCTCCAGAGTGACACCATGGCTCTTCAGCACTTTGGAGAGGTCCCTCACAGCAGACCTTCCCATCACAATACATCTTTTAATTTCCTGGCTGCTGGTGCCAAGAGTGTTAGGTTATTTTTTTTAAAAAATCAGCCATTCCTGTTTCTAGAGGAATTCCACTGTTTTATTTATGTTTATTTGACAATCAGTGTAGCCAATAAGTTAACTCATTTTGATATTAGCTTCATGCCTTCTAAAACCTCATAATAAAGATTGACTATTTTTTCTTTAATGAGTTTTAAGCATACTTTAAATATTCTGGATCCAATTCTTGAATTTACACTAAATTATTAATAGCTCTGACTCTAATTGACCTGTTTATCCTTGTAATTACAGGCTCTGAAAAACAAATTCTTTACTTTTTAAAGAAGACTAATTTTTTAGCCTTTTCCTTTATGATTCATACTTTTAGTATTCATTTAAATACGCAAAACTATTTGTGTGATATATTCCATGAGCTATATTCTTTTGTCGTTAACATAATGATCTAAAATCAATCTAGAAGAGATTCTCTTGAGTTGTTAAAGTTAAAAGAGTAATTCTTCTCTACTGCAGTGCAGTTTCAATTTTGTCAAAGAATACATACGTATATAAACTTAGAACCACACTAAATAAATCAGAAGACGAATTTCACTGAGAAAATCTGCTGTCAGGGACCTCTCCAGGGTACTGAGAAGTAACAATGTGAGTCTAAAGAGCCTTGAAAATACCATGAACCCACCAAGAAAACAAATAGATTTATCTTGGAGAGAGTGAAACCAAGTTTCT